GAGGTGTCGGTGATGGGCCATAATAATCATATACAGTGTATATTGACAAAATAAAAAGAAAAAAAAGAAAAAAAAAAAGAAAATATATATATGAGCCAAATGTATGAAAATTCCTCAAAATCATTCCTGGTATATAGTAGTTGACAGAATTACTCTTGCCCCCTCTCACAGTCACCATAACTCCTCTTCCAATGCTCAGCAGTAACCCTAAGCTGTAATTGCGTATTATGAAAACTTAATGAACTCCAAATTTATGAAAACTTTGAGGATTCAGAAAATAATCACGTGCATTATTAAAAGGTGGGAAAAAAAGCCTTGTAAAAAAAGATTAAAAAATTGGAATAATCCAACCTAAACAAAAATGGGCTAACATGTTTTATTAATGCTAATATTTAAGATTCTAAACAGTTTTTTCTTGCAGAATCATATCTTAAGTTATTTTTCATTTCTGAATATGTATCAGACTATATTATATTGCAGATGGATATAATAATAAGTAATACAGAGTATCAATTCTCGTAGATCTTATATAGCACAAGTTAGCTACCATTTATTCACTTATTCAATGTATATTTCTTACGCACCAATTAAGTAACAGACTGAGGAAATCTTATAGTTCTTTATAAAATAAGCTCTACATGTATATACTTACAAGTATGGGTAAACTTCATATATTTATTATTCTGATGACTAGCAGAGCTGTAAAAGAATAAGAAAATGGCAACTACAAATCAGAAATTAAATTAATCAGTGATGTTTTGAATATCTCATAAAATATTTTTAATCAGAACAAGGGGGAAAGACCAATGTGCATTATAGAAATCCAAATTAATGTATTTACTAAAATGCTATTATTTTCAAGCACATATGTTTAAAATAACTCATCTAATAAAATTTAAGCATTATCACATTAGGTCCAATATAAAGAGAGTAAATGATTTAAAATTTACACAAAAAAGTTTTTCTTGAAAGTATTTCTTTATTATTTGGCAAATGAAACATTCCCCTATTGTTCATATATACAATTGGTTATGTAAGTTTTTATACATAGTTAGGTCTACGATTTTTTTCCTTACACGCCTAGAACGTAATTCTGATTTTTAATATATATATATTTTTTTGTCTTTTTCCGTGTCCGGCAACAGATCGCAACCCTCAGTGTCGCCCCCATACCAGACCGGGACCGGCAACGGGATCGCAACCCTCGGTGTTGCTCCCACGCCTCGCTCAGCCAGTGAGCGGGAACCGGTCTGTATGTGGGATCCGAACCCTCGGGTGGGAGCGCCGCCACGCTTCCCAAGCGGCGCACTATCCAGTGCGCCACCGGGCCGGCCCAATTTTTAATATTTTTAATTATAATTTATATCACTCTAATTTCATTATTAGACTATAATCTTTGAATCAGTGATTCTCAAACCTTCCTGGACTTTACAAATATCCATGATATTTTTTAAATTATAGATTACTAATTCCAACCTAAAAATCCTGATTTAGTAAGTCTGGGGTGACAGCAATTGTAATTTAAATCTGCCAGAATTATTAAGAATTCAAAATTTACAGCATCTAAATTAATGAATTTGCAAGTTAATCTGCATTGCTATTTTCTTCTCCTGCACCTTCTTCAGTGCGACTTTAAAATGTCATTTAATTGAGTGATTTACAAGATTTCAGAAAATTAACGATTTAATTTTAAAATACAGATTCAAAATGCAATTTCCGTAATAATAATGCAAATAGAATACTATTGCTTAAAAGGCAGTTACAATCTAAGAAAAAAATTAAAGAAACATAACAAATTTTACCATAGAGGAAACAACTATCATATATTCTAAAATTTTTTTCTTCATAAATTTGTTTAAATCTCCCTATATAAAATTTTTGTTCATTATGCATGTGATTTGTGTACAGAGGAATGTGATTTTCTGAACTGAAACCAATACACATTAAAATCTAAATGGCTAACTTTACTATAAGGTTTTATATAAAATTTCTTAAAGATTTCCTAAGTGAACGAATTGGGCTACTTTTTCTATATAAAATTATATTATATTATTATTTTGAACTATAGAACCAATATCAGATTTTTTTAGCTTAAATTTTTAGTTCTTTAAAAAAAGTTTAGATTTACTATGTCCTAAGTGTTGACATAGTAAAAATTGGGGTAATTATTCCATTATTCATGGTTCAAATTATTGTTCTTCAATAATAAGTAGTTGCTGTAAGTATAATGTAGTAATGGCAATGATATAGACCCGGCTATTGTAGATGAGACAGCTACAATTTCAATTTGGGGAACAGCCAGTGTTGGGGGGTAGTTAAAGGCTGATTTTTAGTGCTGATAATTAAAGGTTAACTTGATATCGAAGAGGTCCTATTGATGATTGACGGTAGTTCTATTAAGATTAGCACTGGCATCTGTGGTTGCAGGTTCAGATGAAGAGGTCGACATAGATAGTTGAAGGAGCGTATTGGGCTAAGTAGAAATTCCAGTAGCTATAGGTTAAGTGGAAGTGGTAGTGGTTATGGATTCAGTTTAAGTGAACAAAGTTGTGGGTTCAGTTGGAGAGGTGAAAGTGGTGATTGTTCTGGTTGTCCGCTAAATTTAAATTGTAGCAGCAGTTGGTGTTTTTGAGGTTGCAACAGTTGTAGCACCTGTTAAAGTGGTGGCAGCTGTGGTTGCACTTGAAGTGGGAGAGGCAGCTGCTGTGGCTGTAAGCTGAGCTGAAGCGGTAGAGGCTGCATGTTGAGTTGAATCAGTGGTTGCGGCTGTAGAAGACTGAGTAGGGGTTGCAACAGCTGTAGATTCCGTTGAAGTGGTGGCAGCTGTGGTTCCACCTGAGAGGGCTGTGGTAGCTGTTGTGGTTGCAGGTTGAGTTGAAGTGGTCACAGTGACTTCTGAAGTTGCAGAGGTCTCTTCGTTTTCACGTAGGACAACTACATACTGTCCGTTGCTTGGGGGTAGCTGGATAACAATGGAGGAATTGCCATTTCCTTTATTATTCACCAGGCATATTATGAGTACTCCAAGTGCTGTCGTTATCACACAGGCTAAGAAAAAAGCCAGGAAGACTTTCCAGAGAGAGCGGTCATCACAGCTATTTCCTTTTACCTACAAAGGTTGACAAAAATGTCAGTAGTGAAAAGAATTCTTTCATTACTTCTTTTGTATTATTTGTAACTTTTTGCATTAACGTCCTTTAAATCACTGTGTCTCTGTGGTTTAGTCTTAAAGTCCAGGTTTTCATCCAGATGTAAATAATTGCATGCTTTCTCTAACATTAGAAGAAAGACAAATCTGCTAATATCTTGTCTTCTCTTATTGTATTTTACAGTAGGGCATTCCTCTGTCTTTTTTCTTTTTGATACATTTTATTATATAGAGCAGTTTTAGGTTGACAGCAAAAATAAGTGAAAGATACATGGATACCCCACGTACCCCCGGCCATCACAAATGCATAGCTTACCCTATTACAGCATCCCCCACTGGAGTGGTACCTTTGTTATAACTGACGAACCTACACTGACACATATTATCACCCAGAGTCCATAGTTTATATTAGGGTTCACTCTCGGTGTTGCTCACTGTATGGGTTGGAACAAATGTATAATGACATGTATCCATCATTATAGTATCATACAAATACTGAGTAGTTTCACTGCTGCTTAGTTCCACTTAGTTCCTTCCTTCACCCTACACTTTGTCTTTTTTATGTGAGCAGAAGAGTGGTTTTAAATGCTAAATTTTCTTTCATACACCTGATCCTCTACTTGACATTTTTATTACCCCAAACTGCTCCACTTTCAACACCATTTCTTCAAGAAACCTGTCCTCTGACCTGCACATTCTCTCCTTCTGCTTGCTCATCCAGTGATTCTGTATTGACCTTTCTGTGGTTTTACCGAAAGCTTTGGTTCAGCAGTCCTTACTTCACGTCCGTCCTTATCCACCTTTTGTTCCATGACCTATTGTTTCAATAACATTCTTGCTAATTCCCTAAAATCTATTGCACTTCCATCTTCTCGTCTCCTCTAGTTGACAAATAAATGACGGTCTGCTTTCTCCAGACCTGCCCTGGAGCAGCCACACTGCTGGGGAAAGTCAAGCTCCTGGGCAGATCAGAATCAATATAAATGTATTATCACCGTCCTCGAATGGATTTTTCTGTGCTGCTCTGCTGGCGTATTATATTTCTCTGATTAAGGTACCTCTCATTTTTAAAATACTTCCTCAAACTTCTCTCTCCTCAAACCTGTAACTCCTACCACCAACTCTCTCAAGAAAATTGTGCCTCCTCATTCCCATGAAATGACTTCACTTCTTCCTACTTAATGGGAAACCTGAAACAATCCAATGGAAACTCTTTCAAACCAGCAACCCTAAACATGCCTGGACCCCACCCACCTCTCCCTCTTCCCCGATTGACAAGAGGAGCTCTCCTGCCATCTGCCCGAAGCTGATCCCCCAACCTGTCCTTTGGGTCCCGTCCTCTCTGCCCTTCCCAGCATCTTTTCTTTTTTGATTACCCTTTCTCTCTGACTGAATACTTCATCACTTACCTCTTGAATGGCTTTTTCCTTTTGATATTTAAACCTGTCCAGATATTTCCCATCTTTAATGAAAAACTTTTGTTGATTCCAAATGCTCCTCAAGCAACTTCCCTTTCTCTCTCTTTATCTGGAAAATGAGATTTCCCGAGAATTGTCTAAATGCAACACCTCCATTTACACACTCTCCAACCCAATCCTGTCTGGCTTCAGCTTGCTCATGCCATTGAAAAAGTCACCAGTGACATGCAATCATTAAAAACTAACTGACGTATTTTAGTCCTTGTCTTACTTCAGCCCTCAGCAACATTTGCAACTGGAGACCATGCCTCCTCCTCTCTTTTTAACAGTCTTTTTCCTTTGCTTCTCTAATATTCCATTCTCATTGGTTTCTTCTTAACTCCTCCGAATCCTCTCCTCAGTTTTTTTCCAAAGGCTCCCTATCTACTTTCAGTCTTTACAGTTGACATTTTTCAGGCCCTTGTTTTTTTTCACTGTAGGTCTGCAGTCAACAAATTTTCTTTCTTTCTTTTTTTTTTGTAAAGGACCAGATGGTAAATATTTTCAGCTTTGGGAGCCACACAGTTTCTATCACAGCTACTCTAGTCCTGCCATTGTAGAGTGAAAGCAGTCACAGACAGTGAATAAACAGGAGCATGGCTGTGTTTAAATAAAACTTTATTTCTGGGCCGACCCCGTGGCACACTCGGGAGAGTGCAGAGCTGGGAGTGCAGTGAAGCTCCCACCACGGGTTCTGATCCTATATAGGGATGGCCGGTGCGCTCACTGGCTGAGCGCAGTGCGGGCGACACCAAGCCAAGGGTTGCGATCCCCTTACCGGTCACAAAAAAGACAAAAAAAAAAAACTTTATTTCCAAAAACAGGTGGTGGGCTAGATTTGGGCACTTCATGCTTCCTTTCCAGGCTTTCTCATCATTCCTATAATTTTAATTAACAAAATAACCAGACGACTCTCAAGTTCATCTCCAGTCCAGCCCTCCCCTCTAACCTTCAAACACTTGCATGATAGCACATCTTAGATATTGTAAAGATGCCTCAAACTCACTGTGTCCAAACCCACAGTCATGACCTTCCCAAGGAAACCTGGCCAGTTCCCACATCTGACTAAGGGGCACCACCATCCATTCCATTCAGTTCTCTAAACAAAGTGGCCACTTTTGAAATCTCCCAGTCCATTACCAAACCCTGTTAACAATATCTGGTAAGTATCTCACAGTAGGGTTGACTTTTATCCATCTCTGCTAATACCACTCTAGTCCAAGTTTCCTTCATCCCTGCTTTGGACTTGGGCAATAGCCTCAGACCACACCAGCCTCCACTCAGTTTCTCCAATGCACCATGATTACATGACTACTTCTAAAATAGGACCTTGGCACAAATAGTTCTGTGGGCAGAAAATGCCTTTTCCAATCTCTGTCCACTTCCCAGAATGCCACATGGTAAACTTTCAACACAGCATGGTCTCCACAGGCACCTATTTTTTGCACCAATACTAAAGTATTGGTCAGTGACTGTGTTATCAGGAGAGGAATGATGCTCTGTGAGGTTTTCATAATTGTCCTGAGGGTATCCACTTCTTTAAGTATGTAAGTTTGCCAGGTGATGAGTCAACTTCTTTTTTTTTCTCTGAATGTGGAATATGGCTAGAGAGATGGCTGGATAGGAAGAGATCCCTTTAGTGTTGTTTGGTATTCGCCTGGGAATTAACAGAAATATCATGGACTAAAAATAGCATGGAAAAGTGATCTAGATAATTTCTACAGTGAATAATCCTTTATAACTTCCTACCATTCAGCTGCCTGGGACCTAGTATGATGAGAGAGGCCCACAGAATCCACTTAAATGCATTATCCCCTTTCCAGGTTTAGTATCTAAGATTGCACAATGAAAAGGGCTCCCTAGAAGCTTTCCAGTGATGTGCATTTCAACGAGGTAAGCCAAAGCCCTGCTTACTTTCTCACTATTTTTATCACAGATTAGGTTATTCACCAGCATGGTTTAAAAGGATAAACATGGAATGAAGGATTAAAAACCCTGTGTTGAAACCTATACTCTGTCTAAGCAAATTTCTTAACTTCTTTGGCTTGTGACATATAGAATTGCCTTAAGGATTAACAAAACTGAATTGCTTTGTTAATTGGAAAGTGTTTTTGCAAATATTTGTTGTTACTATTGTTAGATAGGCAATATGGCATGGTAGAAGAGTGCAGTCTTTTAAATTAGAGAAGGTTTAAATTTCAGAGCTATGAAATGTTAAACAATTTCCTTAACTTCTCTGAGCTTCAAGTCCTCTTGTCTTGAAATACAGGAATAAAACTATCACAAATTGTTGTTGGGAAAATTAAATATATATAAAGTCATTAGTTCTCAAAAATATTATTTTTATTTTGGATGCAGTATAACTTAGGAATCAGAAACAAGCACTCTGGAGTCCAGGAGATTATCTCATTATCAGCTGGATGAGTGCAAGAACTCCAAGGAATGGAATAAAAAGGTCTTGCCTTTCTGATAAAGTAGAGCAGGTTTTAATATTACAAAATATGGGCAATGGTATTTGTGGGAAGGCCAGGGTTTCATGAAAAGGGTGGCAGCACCATGACAGCAGAAGCCAAATGAGGACACCAAGGCCAGGGAAATGGCAGCCGCTAAGACCAAGTTAGCCCCAGGACAAACAGCATCTTCTTTACCTTGACTGGAAGCACTAAAAAGAAGGTTCAAGGGGGGGGATGAAAGGGGGATGGGGAGAGGTTGGACAAGGGGCACAAGGAATAATTATGATTTGTAACAATATATGTGTTAGTAATATTGATTTGATCAACATATCTCAATGTTGAACCCCCAAAATACGTCTAATCAATTTCGATTCAATAAAAATAAATAAAAAATAAAAAAATAAAAAGAAGGTTCAAGAAAGAACGTAGCAAAAGGCTTGTATATCTGGGAGGGTTTTATAGTACTGCCTTAAACAAACTTAAAAAGAGCACCTTAGTGAAATAAAGTGCATATAACCAGACAATAGGAAACTTAAGTTCTCCAGGTTTGGATTTTTCTGGCAAAAGCTATGGGAGTTCTGGCAAACCTCTTACCTTTCCTAACCCATATTTTCTGTAACTGATAAATGATAGAATGGGACTAAATCAGTCATTCTCATCACTAGTTGCACATTAGATTCACCTGCGTAGCTTTTAAAAAATATGGTTCCACAGGCCCCATAAAGCAGAGTTTCTGATTTAATTGTCCTGGGTGGGGCTCCGTCATTGGTATGTCTTAATCAGTCCCCAGCTAATACTAATGTGCAGTCAGGGTTATGAGCCAGGAGACTGGATGTTATTTAAGACCACTTTCAATTCTACCATTGATATGAATTACTTTACCTCTACAAAGGAGGAACATTTTCTAACTCCCCGCTATTGAGTTCATTCATTCTCTTTAATTGCCCCAGCAACTGTATAAACAGTTTGCATTTTTTAAAAATCCAGAATCAAGGTAAAAGTTCCAGAGCATGGAAAACCCAACCAAACTGCCAGGCCAAATCAGTAATTTATAGTCAAGGTCAAATTGCTCTTCAAGGGCTGAAGATTTAGAGATACAGTCATGATGTAAAGTTAATTCAGCCAAAAAGAGATGAGGTCAAGAACCAAGGAGAGCTGTGTCTGGTCTCCAAAGCTAGTGGAGAAATTCCAGAGGATAGTCAGGTTTCTGTGTCGAGGTCATATACACCAGAGGTCAGAATCCTGGGAGCTAAAGAAAGTGCCACACACAGAGGCAGCACAATCTAAGAAAATAAGGTGATCTCCAATAGAGTAAGACCCATGAATTTCTTTTTTTTCCTTTTTGTCTTTTTTCGTGACCGGCAACGGGATCGCAACCCTCGGTGTCGCGCCCACACCGCGCTCAACCAGTGAGCGGACCGGTCTCTATATGGGATCCGAACCCTCGGCGGGAGCGCCGCCATGCTCCCAAGCGCTGCACTCTACTGAGTGTGCCACCGGGCCGGCCCGACCCATGAATTTCTAAAAACAAGTCTCCCATCAGTCTAAATAATGAATTTTTTTTTATAAAGAATATTCATGAGATACAAAGCTAATTGTCACCCCTCCTGCCCATGATGTGAGGGCCAGATTCATACTGGGGGCATACCCATTACCAGAAATTACTTTTGTACCCTGTGTCCCCATCCAATTATCCCCCAACCACCCTCCTCCCCTCTCCCCCTAACTCTGCTTTGTAGGCCTTGGAATGTTCCCTCCCTCTATAAGATCACGGCACTACTGTGGTCTTTCCTTCCTTCCTTTCTCTCTTAGCTCCCACACAGGAGTGAGCACGTGCAGTATTTATCCCTCTGTGCTTTGTTTATTTCACTCAACATAAGTTTCTCCAAACTCATCCGTTTTGTTGCAAATGGGAGTATTTCATTCTTTTTTAGGCAGAGTAGTATTCCATAGTGTATATATACCACAGTTTCCTTATCCAATCACCCATTGATGGACATCTAGGTTGGTTCCATGTCTTGGCTATTGTAAACAGAGCTGCGATGAACAGGAGTGCAGGTATCCCTTCAACATGATGATTTCCATTCCTCTGGATATATACCCAGAAGAGGGACTGCTGGTTCATATGGAAGATCTATCTGTAGTTGTTTGAGAAACCTCCATACTGATTTCCATAGTGGTTGTACAGTCCCACCAACAGTGCAGTAGTGTTCCCTTCTCTCCACACCCTTGCCAGCATTTGTTATTCACCATCTTTTTGATTATAGCCAGTCTAATGAGTGAGGTGGTATCTCAATGTGGTTTTAATTTGCATTTTCCTGATGACTAGTGAGGTTGAGCATTTTTTCATGTATCTGTTGGCCATTGCCAACACACTTGCTCGCCTGCCTCCTCCCCAACACTGCATTTCACCCTAGGCTTATTTCTCTGATTTTTATACATGTTCTCTACTGTGAATATTTGAGCCCCCAACTACAATGTTAGCTCTTTGAAAACAGAGACCATCAAACATTCTCCTTTTTGTGAACTGCCTCACAGTGACTTGTAATTGTACTGAGAATACAACAAATGCTTAACATAAATGTACATAAATTAACTACATTTCTTGGGAAAGAATAGACAAAGTACATCCCCATATAGAGCACATCCCATCCTGCATAAAAGCTACTATGCTGAATATGACCTATGTGTTAGATAATTCTGGGTGTGGGCACCTTAGGTATGAAAGAACTCCTGGGCTCACGCAGACCCCAGCTAAGCTGGGGGAGACATCACGGATTATGTCATCTGAAGATGGACACCAAATTATGGAGCTGTGAGCCTCTTGGTCTTTTGGACATGTGATTGGCTACAGAGATGAAGCATGAGTAAATAGTGAGCCATGGTGTTGATTTGCTAAAATAAAACTCTCCTGTCAAAAATAAAAAAGAATGTGACTTTTAAAAGAAATAAATGTTTTCTTATTACCCTCTGAACACACAAAAAATTAGATTATTAGGGTACATTTTAACTAATGTTTGTAAGTTACCAAATCTCAGCTCAGAAATGTGTATCCTCTTTCTCATCCTAGTACATGAATGTGTTGAATATCCTCACGTTGCGAGTTACTGAAGGTGGAGCATATATGAGAAAACCTCTATGAGAAATAGAGTGGTAGAGCTGAAAACATCCTTGCAGCTTATCAGGTACAAACTGTTTAGGTCATTTTGGAACTGAGAATATTGGGGAAAAAAAGAGTTGAAGGGATTTGCCATCATTACACAATAGCAAGCGTGGAGCTCAGCCCCATGTGCTTTTCAGTACACTCCACTATGTGGAGTCCTTTGTTATGCTCCATTATGCTATGTTGACATATTAACATGAGTATAGTGTGTACTGTACTACAGGACACTAATGCAAAATTACCATACGTAGTATCTCCTTAGCATAATTCATACCATGCTCTGCCCAGTGGAACTTGCAAGCCTGTGACGGGGCACAGAAGACAAAGTCTTTGGCCAGTTTGTGTACGTCTTTGCTGGGTTCCTCTTGGGCATGCAACAGCGTGAAAACAATTTACAACAAAAGAAAGGTCTCTACTCTTAAGGATCTTACTTACTTACAGACAGGCACAACGAATTTGTGTATAATTAACAAATAAATGCAATAATTGTAAAATTTTGTTGAGAAGAAGGTGTGACTAAGGATTGAAAATGAGTTACATTCGGTGGGAAAGACTTTGGGGAAGAGGGTGTGTTAGAAGAGGGGACGAGGAGATAAAGTGAAAACGAGAGAGGAGTAGTTTCAGGAATTTATGGATCTTGGGCAAAAGTATAATGTAGAGTTATCTGGGGCTCTTCATCTCATAGGATGATAATGTTTGCTTTTTAGCTGCGAATCAAGGGCATCTTTGGCTGCTCCTTACTTGCCTTCAAAAGGGGGATTCGAAAATTACTCACTTGTAGATTTGCTAAGATGATTAATGAGTAAAGAACTGCAAAATCCTTAGAGCAAAGTCTGGTACGTAGTTTTCACTCAATTACTGCTAACTATGATTATTGTTAGTAGTAGTAGTATTTTTATTACTAATGCTACTAGTTTTAGTTGTCTTTGATCATGTTGATTTAGTAACCTGTTGCTAAATAGCTATAGAACTTGATAGCCAACCAACTAGTTAGTTCTATTAAAACTGTCAAACTAGAGTTGTATGTAGTCACTGGTGCATTAGGAACTATCATTAAAAATACAAAAAAAAAAAAAATAGAATTGTCAGTAAATAGAGATACGATGGAATATTCTTGGCAGTAAACAATTAGCTAAGTTAAATTGTTCTATAAGTATAATATGGAAGAAATAAAGATATCAGCTCTTTGTTTTATTCAATACAATCAAACAAAATTCTACCTGTTATTCAGTAGACAAATTTGAGGAAAGTTGGATCTACCTCTATTAACACCTTTGCTGATTTTCTTAAGTGCTCATTCTGTTTCTTTGTTATATCCAGTTTGCCTGTGGCTGACGAACACTTTAAGATACTTTATAAAAAAGTAAAACTCATTCGCCAGGCCAGTTTTCCAGAGTTTTCTGGCCCTATTAGAATCCCAGCCCTTTCAAAAAGGAAGATGATGGGTGGATCTACACAAAGGGTAGAGAATCTGTGATCTAGGCCCAGCTTTACAGTAATATTACAGCCCAAGTAATAATTTTACTGAGATTGTTCTGACTCTTAGCACAGGTGGAGTCTCTATACACAATTGGAATAGTTATAGAGCTGTGAGTAATGTTTAATCAGTTAATCAGCATTTCCTAATAATGGTCGTAAGCAACCAAAGTGCATTAGCTGTATTTACCAAAGGAAGTTCTATAGATTTTTTTCCCCTAACTTTGTAGGGATTAACTTAAAATCTCATGTATCCCTAACAGAAAAACAAATACGCCAAAATTTATTTTATTTGTTTATCATCTTCAAACAATTTTTAAATCTCATTATTAAAGTTAATCTTAAGATAAAAATATTTTTATAACTATACCTAAATGTATATAATAAAGTGAAATATGTAGTCAGCTATCCAGATATATGCTGTAAAAACAACTTTAGATAATATTCGTAAACATCTTCTCTAGAGACACTATCTTTATTACAAAAACCTGGCTAAAGGGAATTTTTTTCTCCATCTGAGTATTTGGGCATTTGAGGATCTTGGGAATGACGAAGAGAACATCTTGGGAAGGGGTGTTGTTTGATAACACAAAAGGACAAACTTTTTCTTTTGGTGAACCAGGAATCCTCCATGGGATTCTTTTATTCAACTAATGTTGAGAAACAAGACATTCTGCTTTGGTTTACCTCGTAAGTGATTAATACAGGCTGGTTCCCACAGCTCCATGTGTCAAAGGCCAAATATTTCTTCATATGCTTTTCATTTATTCTTCAGGCAGTGAATTTTAACTTACCATTTTAATTTTCAACACATGTCCTTCCTTTGTTCTGATGTCAAAGAGTATCTGGTCAGATATAACCAGATACATGAAAGTACTTCTCATATGATAGGTACAAAGTGAAGGCTTGGTTCTTGGTGTAAAAACATTTTTAAAAAATAGACAAAATGATCATATTTTTACATGAAGCAGGTACTTTTAGAGGATTTTTTTTTCAGGTTTAAAGATAATACCTAGAATTAGTATCTGGTTTTCCAGCCTATTTAGAAATCTGAGTTCTGACAGGTCTAGAAATTATATATAAACATCTAAGCATCAAATTGTGAAAATATAACCTAATAAGTAAACCAGTGGCATCACTGGAGTTTTATGTGTACATCGTAGTAAATATAGAAGGTTAAATGGGTTTCTTTGTAAATCTCATGGTCATAGAAGATTCATAATATTTTACATCTATAAATATTTAAAATAATGTCTAAAATATAATATAGCAAAATGTAACATGAAAGTTGAAGCAGAAAAATTAATACAGGGATTCTCTTCCATTTGAAGAAGAATACAAAATTATGACCTTTACTACATAGTAGTAAAGAGATTAGATTGCTTTTAAATACTGAAAATGAGGCTATAATATAAGCAAAATATCAACATGGAGCACCAATTTTGACCAGTCGGTTTTCAGAGTGTTCAACATTTACTATGTATTTTCCATGCTTCCTGTCCATTCTTGAGCTGCCAATATCACAAACTTAACTCCAAGAATATTTTACAATTTGTTTATTGCCCTTTATATAGACAACCATGAGAAATAATGAAAACATCTGGTGGAAAATCAACTATGATGCACACGTACAAGTGTGGATTAAACTAAACGATGAATAATTATTCACCAAAAAGGGATCCACCTTAGGGAAGGAAATGAGATATTAATGACAGAAAGACACAAGAAAACCAGTACTGCCTCTTGGAGCAATTGTCATTACCACTTCCACGACCCTTCTGACACACAGAAACCCTGAAAATCTTACGTCATTTTTCTTCTCTTCTCTTTGGTCCTACCTTTCAGACAGCTTCCTTCTCTGTTAGGACTTACCCAAGAAAAAATTCTGATGTAGAAATTTGCCATTGTTCTTCCTCTCTACTCAAGCATGAATGCCTTTTCACCCCTTATTGGTACCATCTCTCGGGAACCCATGGCCTGAGAGACACTTCACCTTTTCAGTCCCTGGGTTGGTGTCTGGACGTCTGCCTGGTAGTTTGCTTGGGTAATACACACATATTGAAATTCTTAGGCAATAATGCCAGAGGAGTGATGGAATATTGAAAATCTTTAGGAAGAGAACCTTTCTTGTTAAGAAATCTAATCAGTCTTAAATTGTAAAAGGATTAACTCTTTTGTTGGTTTATTCATTCAACAAGTGAGAATATAGAGCTTTGAAAGTGTGCCATGTATTTTTCTGGTGCAAAAGGTTCAGTAGCAAACAAAAGACCATACCCCTATCCTTTTTGTATATGACACTTTTGGAATTTGAATTTTTTCACAAAAGTTTGACCCTTTCAAATTTCTCTTATAAAAGTGTATTCAGAACCTTCAGCTGTTAACAATGAGTTTTACTGAGTCACCTGAAGTAACATAGTCTCAAGTCTTAGAATACAAAGAACAGGGAACACGGGAGAGGAACTGAGAAGCTGGGCAGAGATTTGCTCTAACAAGGAGTTAAAAACACAATGACTTGCTACAGCATGGATGAACCCTCAGGATTTTATGCTAAGCGAAATAAGCCAGTCACAAAAAGACAAATGCTGAATGATTCCACGTCCATGAGGTACCTGGAGTAGTCAAAACCATAGAAACAGAAAGTGGAATGGTGGTTGCCAGGAGCTGGGAAGTGGAGGACGTGGATGGGAAGTTACTGTTTAATAGGCATAGAGTTTCACTTTGGGAAGACAAAGAGAGTTCTGGGGATGGATGGTGGTGATGGTTGCACAACATTATAAATGTATTTAATTCCACTGAACTGTACACTGAAAAATGATTGAGATAATAAATTTTATGTTATGTGTATGTTACCACAATAAAAAAAATTGGAAAACAAAAATGAAAACATGATGACTTACTCCCGTTGAAACAAACCAACAGCGTTGATTAGCCATGGGGTACAAGGGACAGGGGTACAAGGGACAGGCAGGGGCTGAAGATGTCAGTAACATTAAACATGACTTTTGAGTAAACGGATTTATTTGAAAATTGGAATGATGCAGTTATCAAATAAGTGATATAAATTTAATTGTATTTTATTTAAAATGTTAGTGTAATTTTATTCTGTGAAGACATTTCATTTGGTACTACAGCGGTATATCCATGGCGTAACACTCTCAGTTTTGATGGCACCCACACATTATACAATGGCATAGAGTGAATGGTTACTCTTGTCACTTGAGTCTCACCCTCACAACCTTTAATTGACCAAGCAGTTGCAAGACTCTGTCACAAAGTTTGGAAGATAATAAAATTTTAATTTAAAATAAAATAAAACAACACATTGCTCTATGGCTAAATTGCCATGTAAAAATGAGATTTTTATTTATTTTGCAAAGAATGTTTCTTCAGCACATATTCTTAACAATTCTGTGAGTGCCTCTGTCCAAAGCTCAGCAGAAAAAGCAGAACACACCTGGATTGCTATAATGAGCAAAGAATCTCTGAACAGGATTTATAGCCAAAAAGAAATCTGAAAATCTTGTTGGCTGACATGGGGTTGAGAGAACTTTTCAACAGCTGGCCATTCTTTAGCAGAGGAAAAAATGCCTCTTTCTCAGTTATCTAATAGAGAGGTGAATTGCAGTGTTGTCTCAGAGCTTAGGTCAGACTGAGATTTTTAAAATCATGTTACTCAAACAAAAATTTTCTTACCTAAAATTTTGCAGGCTCTGATTATTATTTCTTTGGTCTATTGCCAATCTGGGAGCCAATATGATAGCTCAGCCCTGTGATCTTAGATGACATTTTAGGAAAAGGGATTACTATAGTTCATTATTCATTGTGTTATTGACATTACAACCAAAGTCAGACATAGAATTTCAAAGCCTAAGTAGAATGCTAACATGCAACCCAATTAATTTAAAAGTATGAAAGATCCTTGTGAAAAAAATAGAATCTGAAAAATAAATTTCCAGAGTGCCCTATCAAAATTATCAAAGCAAGAAATAATCATTAAAAGTAAAATTAAAAGTAAAAACTGAGATATTCTGAAAATTCATATATATATACAAATATACATATACCTACACATACACGTGTGTATGTATGTAAATATATGTATGTACACCAAATGTATATTTGTGTGTATATATATATGTATATATGTACACAGTTATCATAACACTATCAGAGTGTATTTAATTGTATTTTTTACAAAGCTGAGCCAATACCTATAGCAGATATTCCTTCACTAAATAAAAATTAACCAAAATCTATTTAAGCAATATGATGGGATTATAATAATTAGCCCTAACCAAAATAGAAACTTGAATTGGTATTCCATTTTAAGATGATCTTCATTGTTTGAAAGTTCTCGCCTATTAAGCCAAAATATTTCTTGTTCATTTGGCTGACTTACATCCTGGTCATGCTATCTGGAGAGAGTTAAAATAAATCTACTTTTTTCTTCAGAATATGGGTATATGATCCCTGATACACAATTCCAAAATCCAAAAAGCTTTGAAAACTGAAAATTATTTTTCGTATTTGGCGTAAATTTATTTGGCAACAAACGTTAATCCAAACAAATAAGGTTATTTTTAGTCTTCAATAAATTTAGCATCATTATTCATATGTTCAATTACAAGGACATTATTGTATATTGAAGGCTGCTACCACATGTATTGTGTCATATATACTGTAAGTACCATATTGAAATTGTAGAGATCTTTATGCTAATCCGGTGGGTGTGCCATTCTGCTCATCGCTAATCCTTCTAACAACTACAAGAATTAAGTGGTATTATCCTCACTTTCCTGATGATACATATGTGTTTTCAGTAACCTTTTATAAACTCAAGTTAAGATTAGAGTGTGGCCCTTCATTCATTTATTGTCTATAGCCATTTATTAATTTTCTAATGTGCACCACCCTGTGCCCTATGAAAGTTGGGGAAAAAAGGTGAAAGACAATTCAGAGGTTGAATGCATTTCAGAGCCTGTACAACTGATGAACCTTTAGAGACTCTGGTGACGTATGCCGAGATTCGTCAGGGAGGTATGGATGTTTACTGGAATCAAGGCCAGGGTGGTGCAGCCACCTGGAATCAGATCTGCTCACAAGGACAGAGATTGCTGGAATTTAGACTACAAATAGCAGCAAGGACTTAGCAACTCCCAGGGTGGAGATATGGCTCATCATCCTTGCTGACCCTGCAAGTTCTGCCCAAGCATCAGACAAATGTCAGGACTGGAAAATCCAAGATGTTCACAGAGCATGGGGATTGGCTATCAACGATACAGACCACATCTTTTTGAGGACAGCAGAGAGCTAGGTCTGGGAGCTGCAGTTTGTGGAGATGGGCACAAAAAGAACAAAGCAGCTCCAATTAAACAATTGCAGCAAATAGACTGGTTATTAGAATGGGAACTCAGAATGGAAACCTCAAGTCTATAAGTCAGGGCAAAGAGAGAAATTGGGGCTCGTAAGGTCCAGAACTTTAAATGTGTTATCAAATCTGGTGTCCAGACTGGGATCAACTCTAAATCTAGGATTAGAATGGGATCCAAGGTGTCAGTGGTGGGACATCACAGCCCAGTTCAGGGCAGCAGGATCCTGGCTCGGGGTACAGTGAACAGGGCAGACCCAGCAGTCCCAGAGTTCAAAGTTAGGAATTTGCTTATTTTCTCAACCTTCCTTGGGGTGGAGGGTGGGGTGGTAAAGATGAGAGCTGTATGGAGCTGGAGCAGCTCATAGAACTCCTATCTGAGTCAGTGATCTGGGACAATGATGCAAATTGAGGTAGGAATGAAGGAGGCTGCAGCGAACTCAGTTTTGAGGAGCTGGAGGGGAGGTGAAGTGAGAAAAAACCCACTGGGTGTGATGCTCACACTATTAAGGAAGCAAAGTGATCTTTGAGGGATGAAGCTGGTCATGGTTTGAAAGACACAAATTCTAATCCAGATCTTAAAAGTTCTCAAGCACATGGCTGGGTAGAAAGGAAGGGGAAATCGTAGAAGAGAGAAGCTGAGACTAACATGGAGAGGCAGAAAGAGGCAAGGTATTGGGGGAAAGTAGGAAGAGCGGCCTGGATGTAGGGTAAGGCTGTCATGGAAATTAGAGCTATTAATTACATTTTTACATAGGCAGAAGGGAAAAATGAATGTCAGGATATGAACTTTAAAACATGAATTGAGAAATGAACAAAACGGTAGTTTTTAGAGCAAGAAAAGAAAGGAAAATTACGTTTAACATAACTAATTCTGTAGCAACTAATGTCAGTAAAAAAAGGAAAGATTATAAATAGTCCTAAATTAATTCCAATTAAAATATAGTTATTCACATTGTTGACTGCCTTTTCTGTCCCCTGCTCTGTACTGGATGCTGAAGTATGAAGGAAGATCTCCCCATCATCCCTAAGGAGGACCACATACAACTGGTCTCCCAACTCCCACGTTTGCCTGACTTTGGTTCATTCTTCACAAAGTAGCCAAACTCTTCTTTCTAAAATGTCAACCCGCTTATATTACTATCCTGCTCAAAACCCCTAAAGGGCATCCCATTCCTCTTAGGGAAAAGTCCCAAGCCCTTTTCTTGGCCTCT